TTTGGTCTAAAATATATCAAAATGGCCATTTTTGCAAAGATTTTTAAAAATTGCCATTTTTGCAAGTGGCTAGAAGAAAGTGGACATTTTTTACAATTTCCACAATTTAGTTTCAAATATTCCTATCAACTACCCTATCTCACTCCCACACGTTTCCCACTATGCACTAACTTCTTAGAGTTTAGGTTATTATTTCCTAGGTATCTATATGCATGACTTGATAGAAGCAACACAAAAAAAAAGAAAAAAAAAGAGAGAGAATTCTTGCACGGCACAAGCAGAGGCAGAAAAAGGAAATTTTTTTGGAACGTGATTTTTGTTGTCTTCCAAAATTAAAGCAAGTTTAACAAGGTATGAAAAGAAGTGCAGTTGTTTGTCCCGTTTAATTTTATTTCTTCATGTTGATGAATTTCATGCTTATGAAAATTAATAATATGATACGATATTTCATGATATTATGTTAAGGTTATACCGGTACAAATGATATGATATGAGCTCTTACCGGTTCCTAAAAATATGTTGACAGTATGATTTTTCTTCACGCGTGAGTTGAATAATTTTATTCGGGATTGCACCATAAGTTTATGTTCTACTGAGTATTCCCATATACTCAACCATTTTTCCCTACTCCACACAAATTAGTACGGGTCGTGTCGGAGCGTGGTGGTTCGATGTTGTGGTTGTGCCGAATTCTATGGATTCAATGAAGTAAATCTGAGATAACATGGCCGAAATTTTATTCCTGGTAGTAACTTTATTTTCATTGTTATATAATTTGAAAATTTGAACAAGGTGTTTATTTGTTTAGATTGGTTAAGTATTTTTCTTTTTGACGCTGAACGAAAGTTGGTATTGATTTAAAATAAGTTACATTCCATTTGCTATTTAAATATTCAACAGTTCAAGATAAGTTATTTTTCAATTTAACAGTTTCTGTATCATTAAATCTAGAAAATATCATGTCATTGAATTGTCTGTGAAATGAAATGATTGTTTTTCCACTGTAAATGAGTGCTCTATATTATTAATAAAGTTTGATTTGTAAGTTTTGTTAGATCCAGTTACTGTTTGTATTTTTTATTCATGCCCAAGATTTTTGATTTATAATAGAATAACGTATAAACTCGGTTTTCCTTCATTAAGTAGGCGCTTTATTAGATAAAGAGTGTGTGACTGTTCTTTTTCCAGAATACATTATAATGATGACCTTTATTTAATAAATGAATTAAATAACAAGATTTTGGTTCATTGTTGTTGACAATAATTTATTAATGGTTAGGCAGTAGATTGATTTCTTTTAATCTTGTATAAAATTTAAATCTAGTTGCATGTCAACCAGTACAATTTAAATAAAGGTTTTGATAACGATTCATATTAAAATTCTATAAAATTTGGGTCTTTACATAACTCCTTCCCTCTATCCTGCAGCGTCAACGCAAGCCACGTAGTGCCAACTTGACGCTTGTGACCTGCTACCGTCGACGCCGTTTCTCCACCACTGCCTACCGTCACTGACTGTGACTCTAAATGTGAGCCTCTTTTCCGTTTCCTTGTGTATCGAAACAATTTTTCATAATTTGTTTATACAAGAAAAATTAAAAATCGAGATCAAAGCCCTTAATTTTCTCTCTAGAAACGTAAAAGAAGACTTAGAATTGATTTGAGCAGAGAATTTTGAATGAATTTCTCTTTCTGTTTTCTCATTTTCTTTTAATTTTGAATGAATAGTGGTATTATT